GTTTTTAATTTACTTATCTTTAGGTTATTTTATTTTTTATTGTACATAATTTTTTGATTATTATTTTACTTTTGTTAATTTTCTGTATATATGGTATGAATGTGTTCATATATCACTATAATTACTGTCCACGTGACAGATCGTTATGTTTCTAAATAAATAAATAAAAACAAAAATTATAATGTTTAAATAGCAAATGGACCTTTTTCAGATTATAATTTGAGAACTACAGAAGTAAAATGTAGGTATAGTAGAGATGGTCTTCAAGAGAATGTGGAATAGTATCAGGAGAAAAGAAGACAGCCGGACCAAGAGAATGATGGAGTTGCAACCCAGGCTCCAATAACAGCAATTCAAGAACAAGAGATTAGCCGACGACAAACTGGGATTAGAAGATGAAAACAACATGGGAAGGGTTGCCAAATGCCGTGAAGAATGGAAAAGATTTGCTCGCATTCACTATCTGGTTTGAATGCAGGAATAAAAAAATATTCAGTGACTCAGTATTTTATTCATGATATAATTGTAAATATTTCCAACACAAATGTCTCTCTCTATCTAATATTGTTTTTTTAATTTGATTATTCATGTAAGAACTCAAGAATATTCAACTAAAATCTGATTTTGCAGATTGTGTTAAAAAAACGTATTCCAATGTCCAACTTTTTATATGAAATATTCAAATAAAGGATTATTATAATTATAATTTTATTATTTTATATTCTCCTTTGTGATCCTACCCTATTTATTCTATTTAAAAACTAAGTCTTGTTTTTTTTAGTCGTAATGAACGTCTAAAATTTGGCCAAGTGACTGAAGAAATAAAAATAACAAAGCAATGGCAAGTTTGTTTGTTCATTCAATCATTGACCATGGCATAAATAAAGATTGTGGATAAATAAATACTTGGATATAATAAGATAAAGATGTAAAAAAAACTTCATAAAAGCACTGCAAGAAAATTATCTTTACAATTTCATGAAGAAATTCGTAGGGTGAGGAATTCTTTTAAAATCTTCACAAAACTGTAATAAAATAAGACCAATACAGTGAAATGATAGTCTTGTTTGTCGCCTCAAACTGATTCTCATGTTGTCGCCCACTAGTTGACTTATTGGGTCAACACGACTTCAGCAACTTTGTTAATTATAGTTTTGCTAATGACCTCCTTGATAAGATTCAACATCAACTTATGGGTCGATGATAACTGACTCTTTCTTATAAATGCGGTGTTGACAGAATCATATTGTCAAATACATTTTATTTTTTTAGCTGGACAACAAGTGAAGCGTACAAATAATATCCAATACTATTTTTATCCAATATACGCAGTTTTTCTTTTTCTATTTCCTAAATGTATTTCGAAACCTTTCTCATGAATTTTCCTTAACATGTAGAGTAAAGATTTTAGGGAATATAAAATTAATTAAACAATAGAAAACATACATAGATAAATCAGTAAAATACTCCCCAAGAGACATACAATGTTAGACTGTAATTGGAAAAAATGACACCCGAACAGCATCATGTCTCCTAAATGCAGATAGAAATAAAAAATCCGTCAACGTTTCGGCAATTCACGCCTCATCAGGGCAGAAAAGAAAAGCAAATCGATAATCATAAATCACACACCTCAAATATTGCAGTATATATTTATATTCGTACTTGCACTACGATATTTTAAATATGTGTTCACTAACACAAAATAAACAAAACAGTTTATATTAAAATATATCTCAAAATCATTTATTAAACAGATAAACAAAAGGTTAAAGATTTATTATTTATTATTACTACTTATTTATTATTATTACAACATTTAGAATATGTACCTCATCATAAGTTAAAAGTCTGTTTGTTCTGCAAAAGTGAATAAATGTTTTATGTATCCCATGATATTCATAAGTTGGACTGTGTCACACTATTCATTCACACTAAAACACACAGATGAGCAAATACTGGGTAACAAACCTGTTATTTGGTATTAAACAAGTTAAATTTTGTACAGTCATTCTTAATGTAGTAAATAAATAATAAATCTTTAACCTTTGATATCTGTTTGATAAATGAGTTTGAGATATATGTTAATATGAACTTTTTTGTTTATTTTGTGTTAGTGTATATGTGTATATAGACTTGATTTATTAGGCTTATCCAAAACGTACAACGCTTCATAATAAAAGTTATTCAAATTCCTACTGTCAGTCATGTAATTAACAGCCATTATCTGACTCCTGTGGCAAATATCTTATAACTTCTATTAAGGGAGTTGACGTTTTTTTTTTATTCTTTTTTTCCTGCATTTTGGAGACATAAGCCGTGAAGTATGAATTTTTCTAATAGTTTTTAGTGTAGTTTCCAATTTATCCTAACCTAATTTAGGAAACATCTTCTTTAACAAGAAAAGAACCCAAGCAGATCGATAAAAACAATAAATAAGAAATAACGAAAAAGTGTTATGCTTGATATTACACAGGACTAACGACCGCAGAGATATATTTTAGTAAAATATTATTTAAAGAAATATTTTTAAAAATTAACAATACGCAATGAACAGACATGAAGGTTATTCGAATAAATTATCTCTCCTCAACAGGGAATCAATTGTACTGAAAACAATATCAGAAACGCATAATCCATTTCTAACCGTAATAGAAACGCCTTTATTGGTCAGTGAGAAGGTAAAAAAAAAAAGAGAATAAAATGTCCCATTTAATCGGCCATAGAGACGAAATGTATGAATATGCTCAGGTTTTCAAAAAAACGTTTAACACGGAACGATACGCCGTTATGGCCGCTAAGGTATGAGCAGGCTGGAGCTTTGCATTGAATGTTTTACTGCCAATGAAAATCTGCCGATGGCATTTATATCCTAATTTATTGGAGGGGGGGGAGAGGCGGAACCCCAAGCGCGAAGAGCTCTTTTAGTGTTATTCACTCGTAAAATATCAACGCACGATACAATCATTGTTATTGCAGATATCCCTTCCGTTCACCTGGGAATAGCTGCTTTTAACCAGTTCCATGCTGATTCGTCTATTTCGGCCAAAAAAAAAAAAAAAGTTTATGCCCCTGTTGGTTTTTTTAATGGGATTTTATACACATGTACTACAGTCTCTTCGGTGCAAATGAATCTCCTATAATGTGGGGGAATACTGTTGGTAGTGCATGCAAGCAAGTGAGCTCATCCGTTCATTTTTGTCAAAATTATGAATAATTAACTGTATTTTTATTAAAATTCTGTTGTTATTAAGATATGATAATTATGTAACATTTAAGGGAAATAGATACTAGAGCCTATGGGTGATACATTTATACCGTTAATACAGGAACAAATAATTAAGTAACAACAAGATCATAGAAGCAATCTTTGCATTTTGCAAGACCAAGACCAAGGCCGCCTAACTGTTGCAAGACCAGGACTAGTAAAAAAAATTTATTTTTCGAATATGAATTAAGGCAAAATAGTTACTAATACTTGATAATCCTAGTTACTATATGTAAATAATTGGTATAACATTTGCATTGAACTCCTCTAATTTTTCATTCGGGCTTGGTTAGGTTTCTCCTATCTAAATAATTACAGTAATATCTCTATAATAATAAGCTAATAAGTAACTGCAAGAATGTTGCGAGACTCTTGAGCAAGCCAACACTAATTCAAAGAGATCTCAGTGCTCCTCTCTCACCGCGTCACCGGTTTTGGAATTCCAATGAGAAAGAACAATAAAGTCACGGGTAGTCAGGAATTGAGTTGAAAAGATTATCACAACAAACAAATTTGCAAAAGGTTTCGGGGCTACTGCCGTTTCAACCTTTGCGGAGGATTGTAAGAATCAGGAGGATTGTAAGAATGTTCGGATGGATTTTGCTATGGGATTAGGATGGTGGATACGAGGGGGCGAATGGGCTAAAGCGTGTGCACTGCACCGCGAGTTGCCTGGCAACCTGATAAGAGGTTTGAGGAGATTAAAAAAGTATGAGTTCGCATCCAGGTGTCGGAGGGAAATTTAAATCTCCCCGCCCTCACCCTCCGGCCCAGGAAAATCCCGTATAGCCTACAAGGCGAGGTAGGGACAAAAAAAAAAAAAAAAAAAAAGGTGGTGGATACGATGAAAGTTTGAATTAAATCTGATGAATCTTTTAAAATATGGATTGAATAACGTAAAAGACTTAAGGGATAGTGAGGTTATTTATTTTATTTTATTATTACAATTTTTTTTTTTTTTTTTGGTTCCTCTCCTTCCTCGCCTTTAAGGCTATACGGAGTTCTCCCGGGCCAGGGATGCGAACTCGGAACTATTTTTCTATGTTGTCTCATATGTCAGATTGCCGGGCAACGGCGGTGCTGTGCACACTCGTTAGCCCATTCGGCCACCCCGCCCAAGGATAGTGAGATTATGGTGTGAAGTTTTGTTTGTGAGTTAATAGGGACTTCAAACTGGAAGGATTGGATACGCATGATATCCAAAAAAAAAAAATGTTTCAGTTTGGTCCTGTAAATTAATATTTTTTTTTGTTTTTCAATTGGTAAAGACGAGTTTCCCTTCAGTAATCTGTATAGTTGGACAAACTGTCTACTGGCTAGTCCAATTACAAGAACTAAGCGATTGCATACTGGCTAGTCCAGCAACAAGAACTAAGCGATTGTATGAAATGGATTCGAGTGGTAGGGGAGAGAAAGGATAGGGGTTGGTAACTTATATGAATTATTTACGTACTTTCGTCTAAATCTTATATTTCTGATGTATTTTTTTAATTTTTAACCTTGATGATGAATCACATGCTTAGGCCGAAACGCCGCCAAGGGTAATAAAACATGCCTAGGCTGCGAATCCTGGCTATACATCATCCACATAATATTTTTGATTGGAAAAGTCAGACTTAAATAAAAAAACTACTTCCTTTTGCTTTTAAATCTTTTCATTCTCAAAAATTTATTTTCAGAATTTCCATATTATTAAATCATTGCAAATCATCTTTGAGTTACTACCCATTAATCAGCAAACTTTCTCCTGATCCATGTAACGGTACAGTTCCTTGATCCATATTATGATACAACAGTTTCTTGATCCATATAACGACACAGTTCCTTGATCCATATAACGACACAGTTCCTTTACCTCGGTGACTGTGACCCTCTTCGGAAGGCGGAGCCGATGTAAAGGAAACGACGACCGGATGGAGGTGATGGAAGGGCAGTATAGATCTCCCATTGACAGCCCTTCCGCACCTGATTTGTCACAAACCTTCCAAAGCGCTATTAATTTATGACCTACGATCCCTTCCATTGAATTCCTCGTTACCGAGCGCCCTATACTCTTTCCTCACTTTACTGTTTGCATTTTATTTCCCAACCAGTAGCAACTGTCACGTGTAACCTTATACATTTCTTGCCGTTTTTCTTATATTTTTTGTTTCAATACAACACACTTGAAAACATCTGATACTTTTTTTTTTTTTATTACATACGAGTATATTATTTTATTTATAACTCAATGGAACATTTTCCATAAATAACAAATCACTACGTATAGATATCCTGTTTGGAATGATATTGATATTTATTAATTTCCTATTCATTATTTTTTTTCTTACCCCATTCTATAATTTTTTTACTATTTTTAAGTTCTCAAAAGTTCTCTTTTTCTGAATTTTAAGGAGGTTTGTGTTCTTAAATAGATTGTACATAGAGTGTGAATGCGCTCTCTGAACACTAGTATAAATGTCTTTAATTGAGACAGATTGTAATATTTCTTAATAAATAAATTTAAAATATATATATATATATATATATATATATATATATATATATATATATATATATATATATATTCCAAAAAACTAACATCCTTAATATTAGTATTTTTTTTTTTTTTTTTTTAATTTCTTTATTGAGAATTATAACAATCTGTCTGTTCGACATTGGTTATAGTGAGGTAGGATGACATTCACACCATATGTACAAAAAAATAAAATAAATAGAACAAAATAATAATCAAAAGTATATACAATAGACAATAAAATAAAATAACCTAAAAAATAAGAAAATTAAAACTAAGGAAAAAAAGAAAATAACATGCATACCTATATACAATCAGGCGAGGGAACTCCAGGAGAACCCTGCGCTACTCTTCCAACCGCGCCACTGGTACTAAAGCCAGCGGAGATTGGTCGAGAGCACTTTAGCCACATACACACATGTCTTGAGTGAAGAATCTGGCCATTGCCAGAACTCCAATTTATATAATTTACAAAAGGTCGCGAGGCCACTGCCGTTTCAACCTTCTTGGAGGATTATAGGGATGGGAGATGCTTGATAGGGATTGTGCAAGAGGATTTGGGTGGTAAGTAAGGTTCTGGTGAAATTTGGAGAACTTTTCTGGGATAAGGTCTAGGACAAATGGGATGTTAAGGTCATGATGTAGGGTTTTGTTGGATACATAGAAAGGAGCATCGACTATTGTTCGAAGGACTTTAGACTGGAAGGATTGGATGCGCTTGATGTTAGAAAATTTTGCTGATCCCCACAGTTCTAGTCCGTAAGTCCAAATAGGTTTCAGTATTGTCTTGTAGATCAGTAGCTTGTTTTCAATGGAAAGTTTAGATTTTCTGCTTAGTAGTCGGTATAGTTGGCCGTATCGTCGGTTGAGTTCTTGTCTTTTGAGTCTAGTATGCGGGTTCCAAGTTAGTCTTCGGTCTAAATGAAAGCCAAGATACCGGACTGTGTCTGAATAAGGAAGCTGGATGGAATTAAAGAGTACTGGTGGACAGGAATTGCGTCGGAGTGTAAAAGTAATGTGTTGGCATTTAGATTCATTAACTTTAATGCGCCAGTTATTACACCAGTGCTCAATCAAGGTGAGATGACTTTGGAGATTTAAGGATGCTATTTCGGGATCAGAGTTGGATGATAAGATTGCGGTGTCGTCAGCGAATGTTGCAAGAAAAGTATCGGGATGAACAGGGATGTCAGCAGTAAAGAGGATGTAAAGCACGGGACCCAAGACGCTGCCTTGGGGAACACCGGCTTTAACGGAGTAGATATTGGAAAATTCTGTTCCACAGCGAACTCGAAAGGAGCGGTCAGAGAGGTAGGATCGGAGGACTAGGTACAAGGACTGAGGTAAATGGATTTTAAGCTTGGAGAGCAGTCCGGAGTGCCATACCCGGTCAAATGCCTGTGCAATGTCCAGAAAGGCACCCGAACAGTATTCCTTGTTTTCTAGGGCTGAGGAAATATGATCAACGACTCGGAGTCCTTGTTGAACAGTAGAATGTTGAGAGCGAAAACCAAACTGATGGGAAGGGATATTTTGGGATTCTATAATGGGTAGGATTCGTTTCAAAAGGATCTTTTCAAAAATTTTTGAAAGGATTGGGAGTAGGCTGATTGGTCTATAGGATGTTGAGCTATTGAGAGGTTTTCCTGGTTTTGGGAAAAGGATAATAGTGGAGTGTTTCCATAACAGAGGGAAGTGGGTGGTGCGTAGGATACAATTGTAGATATATGTAAGGAATATGACTGCTTTGGATGGAAGTTGTCGAAGGATTTGAGGTGTAAGGAGATCATGTCCAGGAGCTTTACGGAGGATTAGTTTTTTTAATTGAAATTTTACTTCGGAAGGATGAATAGCTTTTGGGGGCAAGGAAAGTGGGATTGGTGATGTAAGGAGTTCTTCTACTGTTACGGTGTGGGCAGGATGGGATTCCGGATGTGAAATAAATGTATTGGATAGATGAATGGCGAACTCCTCAGCTTTATCTTCGTCAGATGCTACCCAGGAGCCATCACCTCGTCGGAGAGGATGGGAAATGCGGTGAGGATTTAGGATTTTTGTTGTGGTTTTCCAAAGGGAATTGTCGCGAGAAGAGAGGGAGGATAGGTAGGAGTTGAAGGATTGTGATCTGAAGGTGGCTAATTCCAGTTTTAATTGTTTGCAGTAGTAATTATAGGAGCAGCGGTCGGTAGGATGTCGGGATCGTTGCCATAATAATCTGGCACGGCGTTTGGTGCGGATTAGGTTAAGGAGGTGTTGGGGTAGAATGGTCTTTATAGGAATTCTGGAGGAGTCTTTTGGAAAGGAGGCAGTCCAGGCGGCTTGTTGGATTGTGGTAGTAAAGGAATTTACGGCACTATCAAGGTCATCGGGAGTTTTGAGGGATATGTTGAGATCAATATTATCGGAGATTATTTGGCGGAAAAGGTCCCAGTTTACTGGGCCCCTAATGAATGACGGTGGAGAAGGTTTGGGAACAGGTTCAAGTGAAACATTAAGGATTAGAGGACTATGGTCAGAGGAAAGTTCATTTAGACGTGTAATGGAACAATTGAGGGGACTTAAGCCGCTGTGGATAAAGAAATCTAGAAGATCAGGATTACGGTTGGGATCTGTGGGCCAGTAGGTAGGAGAGTTGGGGGAAAGGAGGTGAAAACGTTGGGAATTGAGTGCAGACAGCAGGGTTCGGCCACGAGAATTCGTGGTTCTGGAACCCCATTGTTGGTGCTTGGCATTTAGGTCTGCACCCAAGATGAAGTGATGTCCTAAGGAGTCGAGGAGAGAACTGAATTGGGCATTGGATATGGATCGGTTAGGAGGGCAATACGCTGATGCAAGAGTGACCGGAAAGGAGAAGGTTTTTATCACGATAGCGGTGGACTGTAGGAAATCATGTATTGGTAATGGGAGTAGGTGATGGGAGAGGGATTGGTGTACAATTACAGCAGTACCGGCATGTGCTTTCCGTCAGGGTGGTCAGTACGATATGTCAGGTATTGTGGTATATTGAAGTGCTGTTTAGTGGTTAGTCGAGTTTCAGTAATTAGTGCCACATCAATGTTCTTGTCAAGTAGTAAAGTAGATAGTTCGTCTGTATGATTTCTAACACCATTCGCATTCCAAAGGAGAATGGATATGGGTTTAGGGGTGTGAGTCATTTAAGGATTTTTCAAAGGAGGGATGAGGTGAGATACGAGATTCGTGAGGAGTGATATGAGTGGAGTAACAAGGGATTTGAAATCGGTGAGGAAAGATGCTAACAAACTTGTGAGATCTGTTGCATTTGAAGGAGGAGGAATATGAGGAATTTGTTGTTGGTGGTTAGGTATATTAGGATGAAGAGGATTTTGAGGTTGGGTTTGAGGTTGTTGTTGTGGCAGGGCTTGACATTTATCGGTTAAAGTCTTACCTCTAAGTAGTTGGGAGAATGATACATCATTGTTTACAATTCTGGAAGGCTCTCTCTCTCTTCTTGTTCTTAGTGCTTCATCTTGAATCCGGTTTTTCTGGTGTCTGGTTTTGAGATTCTTGTAAATTTGGCAGCCTTTGTAGTTGGCCGGGTGTCCCTCCAAGCATAGGGCACATACTGCTGGATCTTGTATAGGTTTGGTGCACTCTACAGATTTGTGCTGTTCACCGCACTTCACGCAACGCGGCAGATGGTGGCAATATGTCTTCGTGTGGCCATAGGTCTGACAATTATGGCACTGCACGATGTCTCTCTTGGGATATGGCTTCTCAACTTTCACCATTGTATAGTATATTCTTGTGATATCATATATTTTTTCGATACCTGGTGATGGCTCCAAGTCCACGAAAAACAATGGTAGTGGGATCCTATTTCGTAATCCTGGCTGTTCCCTGTCCTCCTTCAAAACGTTTGTTACCTGGCGCACATTGAAACCAAGCGTCGTTAGTTCTTCTTTAATAACTTCAGTGGGGGTTGAGGAATGTAAATTTCTTATCACCACTCGTAAAGCTCTTTCCTGCCTCAGCTGGTAAGTGTGAAAATTCGCATTTGTTTCTGATAAGTACTTCACTATTTTTCGGTAGGCTTCTGCAGAATCAGGTGTTATCTTGGTGTCATTGGTCCTGTTAAGGCATGAATAACTGCCAGAGCAGATTTTATTTAGGTGGGTGCAGAACATCTGGAAATTTTTTATATTTTTCACAAATATCGGAGGAGGCTTTGGTTCTCTGGGTATTGCTGCAGACTCCATTACTTCTTTGTCATTTTGAAGCACTTGGTAGGGGTTTGGAGTAAAGAAAGGTGATTCTTCAATCGTTTCTTGTGCAGACGTACCTGGTTGGGGCTGAGGTTCTGGTTCTGAAGTGTTCATTTTGGTCACTGGAGGTATTTCTCGTAGGCAGCGACGAGTCCTTTGTTTGGCTGGTGAGCTAACTCCGTCTGACCGAGACCTCTTGGGCACCTTACTGGCCATCACTTGCTGATCATACCGCATATCATAAGAGAAAAATAAATAAATAAATAAAAAAAAAGAAAAAAAAAA